TAGGCTATCAGACAAGACAAGAGGTGGAGAGAGTGAGTAAACAAGGCAGGCCTAGCAGCATAGTGTGACTGTGTGCTATGCCCCAGCTGAAGAGCTAGCCCCTAATATCTTGAGTATATGACCCAGTGAATTCCTTATCTGTTTATTTGGTTGAGTTAATATAGAAGAGGGTTTCTACTACTTACAACCAAAAGCCGTCCGACCAATGTTTTATCCTATCTATGTGTTCTTGCAAAGCCACCCATCACCTAATGCCAGCAACCGAGCTTCCCTTTACATTTATGGACCTTCTAGAAGCCTTCTCATGAGCAGCTCTGGCCTGTTCCTCTTGCCTGCCGTAAGCAGCACTGTGTCTGAGCCACACGCTTAGGGCAGATGAATTCTCCCCACACACAGAATCTAAAGAGCAGGAGTTCTTCACATCCCTGGGTCGCAGGCGTTACCATTCCCACTGCAGACAGGGCACACCGCTCCGGAACATTCTCTGTCTCCATATCAGCCTGCGTTTGCTCTGTGATGAATTCAGCAAGGACACCTGGCTCTGTGTTCAGAGACAGCGCTCAGCTGCTGGTAGCTTGTTTTATGGAATGGAGCTAAATGGCTGGAGGGTGGTTTACAGAAAACAAGGGAAAAGGAAGAAGATGGACATTCCTTCCAGGGGACAAACTGTCTACAGCACTGCATGTCTGGGGAGGTAAATTACCTTCTTTGTCCACATTTGTGGATACTAAAGCTTAGAGTGGTGGAGTGGTCACTTGCTGGGGGCTGAGCTATTCAGGGGACAGAGCAGCTCTGTTTAGTATGTGTCCTTTTTTACGCTCCTACTGAGCTGCCTCTTAGGGCTGTATTTGGCTTTGACTTGTCCAATCTAGACCACTCAGCACTGTGCTGGCCACGTAGCCCCGAGGGGACTGTGCTGCGTTTCTCACTGTTTCGTACTAACATAACGAGGGCAAATGTTGCAGAGCTCCCTCCCACTTGGTGCGAGAGACTGGCTTGACATGGAAGTGTGCAGAAAAAAGAGAAGTCTGGAGTTCAGTTTCCTCCCTCTGTGGCCCACCCAGCCTCTGGGGCTGGGGTTGAAAGTGTGGCCAGGGAAGGCATTCTGTTCCCAGCAAGAAGGGGTTCCTCTGGCTGGGTGACAGCCACCGGCCCACCTCCTGCAGGTGTTGGAAGAGGATGCAGCCACCCCCACCCCCTCAACAGGGAAGGGTGGAAAATGCTGCACCACGCATGGGTGAGTGCGCACATGTGTGTATGTGTGGTCCTCAGAGCAAGGGCCAGGCAGGGACCAGGCTGCAAAACAACATTAAGAAGCCGAAACATTTTCCACTGAGAAATAGAATTACTGCCCGTGGAATTCTTACCCAGGCAGGGAAGTAAGCGGCAGCCCCTCCTTTTCATTAGTTAAACAAAGAGGGTTATTTTTCAAATCAAAACTTTCAGTGTGGAAAACAACCTAATTCCCGGGGCTTTTTGAGAAGCAGGATTCTCAGTGCTTCGATAAACATGTCTAGGTGGACACGCAGCTGCAAAGGGCAGTGTGGGCACACTCATCAAGCGCGAGGGCAGGCCTGGCCAGTGGGGGACACCAGGGTGTAGCTTCAGGGCTCTCAAAACAGTCCCAGGTAGAAAGGCCAATGGAGGGAGTGAACCGTGGCCTGGAAGAGTTCAGATGTCCTGGGAGAGAACAAACAGGAGACAGATATTGTCTGTCAGTCCCTGAAGTGATCGCCTTTCCTCTTGCAAGGCAGTGAACTCGCGATAGGAGGATAAGCTTCAAACTCAAAAGCCTTGCTTGGTTTAGTGGAGTGCATGCTGCCTTATTCAGCTTTTGACCTTCAGAGTTCTACCCAACACAGCCCAGATTCCACTTGTAGACCTGTGGGGAAATGTCAGGCCTTCCTCTTGTGGTGTCCGCTAGGTGACAGTTCCTGGGTACCTGCATTTGCTCAAGAACAGGCAAGAGGGCTGGGGCCATAGCTCTGTGGTAGAGCACTTAATTCACTCTGCTGAAGACCCTGGGATTCATCCGCAGTACTTAAAACAGCAGGGGCAGAGCTAACACAAGCGTGAGCGGCCCGGCTCCGGTTCTAGCTCCACTGCTAGGCAGCACATGCCTGCTCCCTGGGCTTTCACTTGCCCATCTGCAAAGAGGACGGGCAGTGATGCCCTAGCACAGTGTTTACATGTAGCTTAAACAGGACCATGCTTACAGAGCACTTAGCGCTGTTCCCGGACAAAGGAAGAGCTCCATTAAATTGTGGCCATCGTTATGAAATTAAAGAGACCTGGCATATGTTCCTAGGCCTCAGCTTTTGAAATTAATAAATATTGCTCTTTGAGGGTCCACTTTTCTCATCTCACTTGCACAGAGTGTGTTGTTTAAAAAAATAAAAAGCAGGCGCAAAATAGCTGCTCTTCAAGTCAGAGCTTCCTTCTCTAATCAGCCCATGAATGTTTCGGGGAGTGCTCTATTTAACTTGGCTGGCCCCAGGTTTTGCCGTGAGTAATGCGTTGGGCTTAATTTCAAACTCCACATGGCCAAGATCATTGGATACTTGAGCTTCCCTGAGCTGAGTTGATACAGCTGCTCTGCCCCTGGTCACTGGTGAGTTGTCCCTGCAGATTCCACAAGGTCTTAACAAAACAGGCCAAGGTGCACGGGCCAGCCGCAACGGTCAAGGGCATGGTTTCCACAGAGAAGCCCAAGCAAGACAAGACCAAGGAGGTCTGAGGAGCTCTGGAGGGGAGGTGGAGGAACAGAGACAGAAAGAAGATGACAGCAGGGAGAGGAGGGCCCACCCCCACGGAGCTCTGTGGAAGGCAGTGCTGCTGAGCACACCCTTGCTGCTGTGAAGGTAGCCCAAAAGGCCAGGAGAAGCCAGCTGACTACGGGGTCACCACAGCAATGAGCAGAAGGTGTGCATGCTCCCCAAACGAGGATCTCTGGAACCAATCAGATCAGACCAGGACACACTCTTGCTTCAGGAAGAAGTATGGCTCTAAGTATCTGATTCAGTACAAATAAAACCAAAGAAGCCAAATTCAATTTAGACATGTGTTTTTCCCAAGAACTCAGCTTTGGCATGAAACAAGGCTTGCCTGAGGCCACTCAGAACTCAGTGTGTGGAGGACAGTGTGCAGGGCACATGGAGCACAGGGTCAGCTCCAAGGCCAGCCTGGCCTCCGTGACAGGCGGGCTGGCCCACCGGTGGAGGAAAGTAGTAACTCTTTAGCACTTGCTGTCTAGCTAGGGAATGTCTCCTCAGCTTCGGAGGTAGCGACACCCACCCTGAGAGGTTTGGATTAATGATCTGAGCCTAATAAAAGCTGCTCTTCAAGCCTGCTGAGGAATCCAAACACTCCAAAAGTGAAAGAGAATGAACGAGTTCTAGAAGCAATGTGAGGAAGAGCATTCATTGTACAAATCGTTACAATTACTCACACTGCCTGGTGTGACGTCCCAACACTGTAATATAACGCTGGTAGGCTCATTTTCCCGTGTTCTTTCGAAGGAACGTTGCCTCCAAGTACAAATGTTCCCTTCAATTTCATTAGTGGCAGTTGCTGCTTTCTGATTAATCTCTCCATCTCCTGAAGACGGGCACCTGATGGGGGGAAGTTTGAGCATTATATGCAGTTGAGTTGCGATGCCTTCTAGGAAGTTCTTTAACTTCAGAAAATCCTTGGCCTTTGCATGAAGTACACAAACAACTTAGCTGATCCTTTCAGTACTGTGACAACATTCAAATAAATAGAATTGTCACAGACATGAAACACCGAAGCAGAATATCAGCAAACCAAGTCTACACATACACTGAAAGGATCAAGTACCATGACATATCAAATTTATTTCAGAAATGCAAGGCTGGTTTAACACTAAAAATTTAAGCAATATAATTTTGACAGCAGGCCGGGTAGATAGTTCAGAAGTCTAAGGGCCTGCCTGGCAAGCCCACGGTCCTGAGTTCGATCCCTGGTACTGCATGCCATGCTGGCTCTGGAACCCGGCTGTGCCGGCCACTGAAACCAGCTGTGGTGGCACATGCCTGTAATCCCAGCACTGAGGAGGCTGAGACAGGAAGACCACTAGAAGTGAGATGCTATATAAAAAAAAAATATGACAGTAACAGAATAAAGAAGAAAACTATGAGCCCCTGGATTCAATCCCCAGCACCACAAATAAGGCAAAATACATAGACAGCTATGTCAACTGGATTTCCAAAAGAAAAAGAAATGTATTTTAGCCTCTTCTCACACCTTACACAAGTCGATTAATTATAGATGTATTGTAGGCCTAAATGTAAACGTTAAACAATAAGGCTTCCAAAATAATACACAGGAGAATCAATTCATGATTGTGGAGTAGCTAAATCCCAGCAAGACATAACATTCACTAACCAGAAAGCAAAAAACTGATAAATTACACATTTTGATATTATGAATTTCTTTGCATGAAAGATAAAAAAAATACAGCCCTGTGATTAACACCATTCAAAGGCAAGTCATAGGGTAGAAGACATTTCACTAAATATAGCACAGGAGCTGAATCAAGAATATTTGGGCTGGCCAATTAGCTCAGCGGATTAAAGCACCTGCAAGCAGGCACAGAGGCTGGGGTTCAATCCTGGGGCCTAAGGTGCTGGCCCCGCCCTGGCACTGAGCTGGCAATTGAGACTGGGATGGTGGCATGCATCTGTAATCCCAGCTGTTGGTGATCATGGTATCTCCCCTGCCAGGTAAGTATAATCCCAACTTTTGGGAGGCTGTAAACAGGCAGATCACTACAAGTTGATCTAGTAGTAAGACCCTGAATACCCTGTAGACCCTTTCCCCCCCCCCAGAAAAAAGAACTTGGTGTCTAAGAGCAGACCAATGTTTGTTTACGTCTATATCATTGCCTATACATTTCATTTAATTGCTTTTAATAATGCCATGTGTCTTCTGTCCAGGTGACAGTAGAAGGATGAGGCAGCGGAGGGCGGGTGACAACCCGCAGTGATTTTTCTGCTGTCCCTTCTTTCCAATCAGAGATTTGTGGATGTGAGGAATCACACCACGGCCAGCCTTGATGAGGCAATCCAACTCTTCGTCTCTGCGGATGGCGAGCTGCCAGTGACGTGGAGTGATGCGCTTGACTCTGAGACCCTTCCACACGTTCCCTGCCAGCTCCAGCACCTCGGCGGTGAGGTACTCCGGGATTGCAGCAGTGTAGACGGCGGCGGCGGCACCCGCTCGTCCGTGGCAGGTAGTGCGCGTCTTCAGATGCCTGTGGATGCGGCCCCCAGGAAACTGCAGCCCAGCGCTCCGCGAGCGCAGCACGGCCGTGGCCTTGGCCGCGCCACTGTCCCTCGCTGCGTCGCCTCCATCCATAGTCGTGGCAGACTGCCTCTGCTCAGCCGCTTCACCGCCCGCTGCCACCCCGCCCTGCGCAGCCCTGAAGTTTCTTTACAAAGGAGAAAAAATAAAGTTGTTGGCAACAAATTTAGGAGAAGATGCAAAACTGGGCATGTAAATTGTAAATTACAATTCAATATCAACCATTTATCCACACCAATGCAAACTGAAGATAAATGGACAATACTGAATATTGGTGAAGAAATCGAACAACAAGAGACTCACATATTTCAGGCGCAACTGCTTCAACGAACCGCGTTGGCTGGGCACGGCGGCGCATGCCTGTAATCCCAGCAATGGGGGGAGGGTGGTGCTGAGGCAGGAGGGTCGTTGTGGGCCTGAGGCCAGCTAGGCCTGAGTGAGTGAGTTCAAGGCCAGCCTCTACTGCATAGTGAGACCCTGCCTCAAAGCGAGAAACAGGCAAGCAAACAAACAAACAGAATGAACAAACCCTTCATGATGCCTACCAAAGCTAACATATGAATCTCGTGCGTCAACATCGCAGCATTTTCTTGGTAAATATGCCCGGGAATGTGTGTATAGGGCACTAAACACGAACAAGAGGACGCTCACAGAAGTGCTATGTTCAGTCGCCAGAGGCCGAGCAACACCGAAGCCCATGGGACAATAAAATGGTTTAAGTTACGGCACACGCACAATCACGTGACCTGTGTAAATGCGAGTGAACAAACTACCACTCTGTGACATAATATGAAGAATCATAAATATAGTATTGAATAAAAGGAGAGAAAAGAAATACAAATATTGTATGGCTCTATGTGACCTTGTAAAACCGGAAAAACTACCCTCCTCTGCGACTTGGAGCGTAGGAGCGGTGGCAATACTTTACAGCGCGATGGAAACGACGGTCACATGAGTAGGTTCGCTGAAAGATCCATCGCGTTATGCGCTCATGATGAGGCTACAGTTTGTACTTTGAAGCACAAACCTTGCCAAAGCAACCACAATAGCAAAAACCCTGGAGCAGAGGCCCCGGGCAAATTCACTCGAAGTGCACAACTCCTGCCCGGCGGGGTGCTCCGTGCCTTTGCAGTTCCGGCGCTGTCCCCTCCGCTCCTAGTTCCTGCTGCTTGTGGCTGCTGAGATGGCTCCAGCGCCTTGCTTCTTGTAGTCTGCGGTTTGCTTTCGATCTGAACTTGATATATTGATCCTTGTCTTTATCTCACTGTTTTAACCTTGGAGCTGGTTCTTCATTCTCAACTTCCATTTCAGTATTTCCCTAAATGCGTTTCCCATCACGTTAGTTGTACTAATTCTCAAAATCGTATTAATGACATTGGTTTAATTTTATTGTTTAATTTTCACCCCTTTATTTAATCTTTTCCTGTCATTATCTAATGAATTTTAATGATTTCATAACTCCTACTAGATTACTTGTTTTGCCATTCTTTCCTGTAACTTAAAAAACAAAAAAAGTTCTCTTCCCTTTTTTCTGAGTAGACTGGGGCAGGAGTGAGGAGAACGGTATTGACAAAGTTCTTTCTTGTTCTCTACCCTCCAGCCCTGGGAAAGAGCCAGATGATCCGATGCGTAAGAGGAAGAGAGAAAAAAGAAGACTGGAAAATGATCACTAGAACCGGCACTTCGCAGTTGCTCCAAGTGCTGTAACAGATTACTTTCCTTACAGATTTAGCTAAGAAGCTGTCTGACCTGAGTCCATTTATGGACCTATTTGGCCTTGCTTTTATTTTTACTTTTTCAAAATAAATCCTCTGGTCCTTGACTGGAGACAGTGAAGAAACCAGGGAGTTTATATTTTTTTAAAAATCCATGTGAGGGTTTTGGCCAGGAGTTTTTCAAACACTGGAATAAATTTTTAATTTGGACTTTGATATCCAGACAAGCCCAGTTCATGTTCTCTTGGGCCTCCTTCTCAGAGACCAGACTTCAAACAGACCCTGCTTGCTGTCTTAGTAGAAGCAGCACAAGGGCGCCACGGCAGCCGCAGCCAACAGAAACTGCCACGCACTGCACATGGCTGAGCTGGAGCCCTGCTCCCTGCAAGCCCACGTGCCATTCTGGGGACCCAAGGTCAGGATGCGCAGAAGAATGAACGAGCACGTGGACCATGGAGGCAGGAGATCGTGGGACATGCGTGTCCTCCCGGAGACTCTGCCTGGAGCATCTGAGTCACGTGGGACAGAGTCCTGAAGAGAAAGAGCCAGACACAGGTTGTGTCATTTGGCTTTATTTTTTGCTTCTTATTGTCTCCACTTCCAATTTTGTCTTTTACAGTTTGGACTGCAGAAGAAATAGACGCATTTCTTACAGATGAGACACCAGGGAACCTTTCGGTTTAACTCTTAGTTGAACTTCCTGAAATTGGACTGGCAAAATAGAGAATAAGAAGGAGACAGAAAGAAAGAAGAAAGAAAGAAAGAAGAAAGAAAAAAAGAAAGAAAGAAAGAAAGAAAGAAAGAAAGAAAGAAAGAAAGAAAGAAAGAAAGAAACTGATTTTCTGTGACAAGTAGAAAAGTGGCTCATTTCCCTTCAGAGACCTAAACAGGAGACTTACCAGGAACTGAAACTTAATACATGAGTCCCTCAGAAGAGTGACCACCCTGGGGCGGTTGCCACCTTCTCCTGTTAATTGTCACCTTAAATAAGCAGCTGTGGAAATGGCCCAAAGGCCAGAGCATAGGACCGTTGCTGGGGAGTGTCCAGCACACTCATGCCCTCTAACAAAACACAAATGATCCAACAGTGGCATTGACAGTGTTCTCAGAACAAATCATTCCCAGTGTGCCACTTTCCAATCATGTAATTAGTTGCCCTGAGACAGGGTGGGGGAGGGGGCTCTAGGTCACCCTGGATCTGGGATAATTCCCCCCAGTTACCTATCAGGATAGACAGCAGTTTGGGCCCAATTTCAGCTCTCCCTGAAGGCTGAGCGGCAGGTGCTGTCTGCCCCAGGGGTGTCTAGAAGTTAGAAGTAACCGAGTATCTGAAGTCTTCTGTCCCATGACCCTGAAGCGCTGTGCTGCGAGCCCAGATGGCCACCTGTGCTGCCGCTGTAAACACAGGAGCTTGGCTTTTCATCAGATCAAATGCCTGCTCAGATTCGCCATGGTTTTAAGGTTTGTGTCCCCCCAAAACTCACATGGGTACTTACTTCCCAGTGCAACAGTACTAAGAAGAGAGCCCTTGGTGGCTAGCCAAGAAAGCCCCAGCTTCACGAGTGAGACTAGAGCCCTTATGAGGGAAGGGCTCCAGGGAGGGAGTTCTCTCATCCCCTCTACCACCTGAATGCTCAGTGCAAGGTGCCATCCCTGAGGAAAGACTAAGCCCTCATTTGACACCAGTCCCGCTTGTGCCTTCCTTTGGGCTTCCTAGTCTTCACCACTGTACCAAGTGAGTTCCTAACATTTGTAAATTACCAGCCTATGATACCTTGTTACAGCAGTCCCCACAGACTGAGAAAAGACCATAGCCTCTGGGTGTCTCTTACACTTTGTTCAATCTTTTTTGTAACTGCAGTACAATGCATATAGCTGAAAGCCCCTCTTCCTCTGTCCCAACAACCAAGTTCCTCCAGCCCTTGACCATCTGAGAGTTATAGGTCACGTGGGCTGTGCTGCCCAGTGCAGTTAGTTGCCTCATTCTCCTGCCCTTCTTATTTCTTAGCACTTTGCTTAGCCCATGTATCAGTCTTTCTATTGCCCATGGGCTAAGGATATCTGAGAAGAAGAATCTGGTATCTCCCATCTTTGTGTTCCTATCATCCACCTGTATGGGTAGAACAGACATCTAAGAAGCAAGAGAAGATAAAGAAAGACAGGAAGAGATCCTGGCCTGGTGGTTCAGATACCTGGTTCTAGTCACAAACAATAAAATGCAAAGAAACAGCAAGGACATCTTGGAAAGTCTTTGTGCCAAAACGGAAACTCTGTTATGAGTGTCTCCACATCAGCCAAGAAAGATGGCCGGGGAGACGTTCTTCCTACAAGGCCTGCGAAGACTGTCATCTCTCCTTCTGGTCCTCAGAGTTTTAGCTCTGACCCTTGCTGCCCTCTACCAGGCAGCCTTCCTGGATGGACTGTATGTCCAACTCCACTGCCCACCCACCATCATTGCATTCTGGCCAGGTGGCCATTAAAGGACAGATCCCACCACGCTGTGTTCAAGTATCCCACCCTCACTCCTACGGCTCACCTGGTTTTAAGGCTCTCTGCCCTTGTCCATGGCCCCATCCTACAAGACCCTCGGGCCAGCCCTCCCAGCACATTTTGCTTGGTCTTACCTTGGGTCTCTTAATATTTCCTGTGCTTGTTATTTCAGAACTCAGTTCAAGTATAGTTTTAAGAAACTTTCCTAAGGGACCACAGTCCTGCTGCTCATTTGCATACTTTGCACCCCATCCTCCTGTGGGTGTCCCACCAAACCGCACCCTTCCCAGTCTGCTCCTCCTTCCCTGTTCCCTCTGTCAGTGCATTTTCAGGAGCCTCTTCCCAGGTGCTAGGCCCACGCACCCCAAGAGACAGAGCTGAGAGTCAAACTTAGGTCTCAGCAGCCAGGCGGAGTTCTCTGACCTCAATCACAGCCTCCCGATGCTCCCACCTGAGGCTACGAGCAAAGGGCCACGGCCTCCTGGCCGTCCAATTTGCTTCCTGTCTCTGTGAAGAAAGCAATGGCTTTGTCCAGAATACCGAGAGTCTTGCCATTTGGGTGCAGGCACCAGGGCTCCTCAGTGCAATGGCGTCCGCGTGCCATTTTAAAAGCGAAATTGCCACGGCTGCTGCTGAGGTCCAGATTTGGACACAGGGCGGTTCCTTCG